CCGAGGATCGCTCCCATGTAACCTTAACGCCTGCTCCAAACGCTGCTCCTGAAGACGGAGGGCCTCCGTTAAATCGGGGCTTAATTGCTGCGAAGGTTGACCCTGATGTGACTGATAGTTGCCGTTGTGACGAAGCGGACTCGACGCATCGTGTTGATTTAGTTGAGGAAGTGCCTAAAAAGACAACAAAATTAATATAACAATCATAAATATATGCAACCAACATCACAGTATGCGTATTGCAATACGCGATTTGCGTATTTGGTTGCATACTTGCACTAATATTAAATCACGATAGTATGATTAATAATTATTCTAATAAATTAACTGAGAATGAAGCTGCTTAAATTAAGAACTTAACTCTTAAAGATGTCAAATTTGATTTTCAAAAAATCATAACGGGCATATATCTGGGATTGAAGAAATGATTTTGATACCAAATTAAAGCTTAAACTTTATACTTCAAGAAACCATATGGTGATTTTAAAAAATTTCGCCTCATTCTTTTCATTTTTGACTTATAACCAATAATGTAAAAAGCGACAAATTTAAGTATCACGAAAAATTGATGATTTAAAAAAAATCGTAGTGGGCTTATTTTTGGGATTGAAGAAATGATTTTGATACCAAATTAAAGCTCAAACTTTCTACTTTAAGAAACCGTATAGCGATGTTAAAAATTTTTCCCCATCTTTCTCATTTTCGATTTAGAACCAATAAGATAAAAAAGAACAAATTTAAATATTAAGCAAAATTGATGATTTTCAAAAAACCGTTGTGGGCTTACTTTTATGATTGAAGAAGTGATTTTGATATCAAATTAAAGCTCAAACTTTCTACTTTAAGAAACCGTATAGCGATGTTAAAAATTTTTCCCCGTCTTTAACATTTTCGATTTAGAACCAATAAGATAAAAAAGAACAAATTTGAATAATAAAAGAAATTGATGATTTTCAAAAAATCGTACTGGGCTTACTTTTGGGATTAAAGAAATGATTTTGATGTCAAATTAAAGTTGAAACTTTCTACTTTAAAAAACCATATAGCGATGTTAAAAATTTTTCCCCGTCTTTATCATTTTTGATTTATAACCAATGAGATAAAAAAGAGCAAATTGGAATATTAAAAAAAAATGGATGATTTTCAAAAAATCGTACTAGGCTTATTTTTGGAATTGAAGAAGTGATTTTGGTATCAAATTAAAGCCCAAACTTTGTAGTTTAAGATGCCACATAATGATATTAAAAAAATTTTGCCCCATCTTTATCATTTTTGATTTATAACCAATAAGATAAAAAAGTGCAAATTTGAATATTAAGAAAAAATTGATGATTTTCAAAAAATCGTACTGGGCTTATTTTTGGAATTGAAGAAGTGATTTTGGTATCAAATTAAAGCCCAAACTTTGTAGTTTAAGATGCCACATAATGATATTAACAAAATTTTGCCCCGTCTTTATCATTTTTGATTTATAACCAATAAGATAAAAAAGAGCAAATTTGAATATTAAGAAAAAATTGATGATTTTCAAAAAATCGTACTGGGCTTATTTTTGGAATTGAAGAAGTGATTTTGGTATCAAATTAAAACCCAAACTTTGTAGTTTAAGATGCCGCATAATGATATTAAACAAATTTTGCCCCATCTTTGTCATTTTTGATTTATAACCAATAAGATAAAAAAGAACAAATTTGAATATTAAGAAAAAATGGATGATTTTCAAAAAATCGTACTAGGCTTATTTTTGGAATTGAAGAAGTGATTTTGATACCAAATTAAAGCCCAAAGTTTCTACTTTAAGATACAGTATAACGAAATTAAAAAAATTTCTTCCAAACTGTTTCATTTTTGATTTATAGCCAATAAGATAAAAAAACCAATTTAGTTATTCTTCTAAATTTATTTCCTAAAATTTTTCTATATCAAACCTAAACATTTTTATACGTCATTCAAAAATACAGACTTTCAGCTTCATTTTAAGACATAAGACATTTCTAAACTCATCATAACAAGGTTGAGGTGATTTTTTTAATTTTTCTATTTTCTGACAATGAATAAATGAACTTGTTCAACTTCTAAATCTATTTCCTAAAATTTTTCTATATCAAACCTAAACATTATTATACCTAATTCAAAAATAGAGACTCTCAGCTTTATTTTAAGATATAACTCATTTCTGAACTCATCATAACAAGGTAGAGGCGATTTTTTAAATTTTTACTATTTTTTGACAATCCATAAATGAACTGGTTTATCTTCTAAATTTATTTCCTCAAATTTTTGTATATCAAATCTAAACATTTTTATTCTTAATTCAAAAATAGAGACTCTTAGCTTCATTTTAAGATATAACTCATTTCTGAACTTGTCATAATAAGGCAGTGGTGATTCTTTTAATTTTTACTCCTTTCTGACAATCCATAAATGAACTGGTTCATCTTCTAAATTTATTTCCAAAAATTTTTCTATATCAAACCTAAACATTATTATACCTAATTCAAAAATAGAGACTCTCAGCTTCGTTTTAACATATAACTCATTTCTGAAGTCATCATAATAAGGAAGAGGTGATTCTTTTAATTTTTACTATTTTTTGACAATCCATAAATGAACTGGTTCATCTTCTAAATTTATTTCCTAAAATTTTGTTATATCAAACCTAAACATTTTTATACCCAATTCAAAAATAGAAACTCTCAGCTTCATTTCAAGATATAACTCATTTCTGAACTCATCATAATAAGGCAGAGGTGATTCTTTTAATTTTTACTCTTTTCTGACAATGCATAAATGAACTAGTTCATCTTCTAAATTTATTTCTTAAAATTTTTCTATATCAAACCTAAACATTTTTATACCTAATTCAAAAATAGAGACTTTCAGCTTCATTTTAAGATATAACTCATTTCTAAATTCATCATAATAAGGCAGAGGTGATTCTTTTAATTTTTACTCTTTTCTGACAATGCATAAATGAACTGGTTCATCTTCTAAATTTATTTCCTCAAATTTTTCTATATCAAACCTAAACATTTTTATACCCAATTCAAGAATAGAGACTCTCAGCTTCATTTCAAGGTATAACTCATTTCTGAACTCATCATAACAAGGTAGAAGTGATATTTTTAATTTTTACTCTTTTCTGACAATGCATAAATGAACTGGTTCATCTTCTAAATTTATTTCCTAAAATTTTTGTATATCAAACCTAAACATTTTTATACCTAATTCAAAAATAGAGACTCTCAGCTTCATTTTAAGATATAACTCATTTCTGAACTCATCATAACAAGGTAGAGGTGATTCTTTTAATTTTTACTATTTTCTGACAATGCATAAATGAACTGGTTCATCTTCTAAATTTATTTCCTAAAATTTTTCTTTATCAAACCTAAACATTTTTATACCTTATTCAAAAATACAGACTCTCAGCTTCATTTTAAGATATAACTCATTTCTGAAGTCAACATAACAAGATAGAGACGATTTTTTTAATTTTTACTATTTTCTGAAAGTGCATAAATGAACTGGTTCATCTTCTAAATTTATTTCCTAAAATTTTTCGATACCAAACCTAAACATTATTATACCTTATTCAAAAATAGAGACTCTCAGCTTCATTTTAAGATATAACTCATTTCTGAAGTCAACATAACAAGATAGAAGCGATTTTTTTAATTTTTACTATTTTTTGACAATGCATAAATGAACTGGTTCATCTTCTAAATTTATTTCCTAACATTTTTCTATATCAAACCTAAACATTTTTATACCTAATTCAAAAATAGAGACTTTCAGCTTCATTTTAAGATATAACTCATTTTTAAATTCATCATAATAAGGCAGAGGTGATTCTTTTAATTTTTACTCTTTTCTGACAATGCATAAATGAACTGGTTCATCTTCTAAATTTATTTCCTCAAATTTTTCTATATCAAACGTAAACATTTTTATACCCAATTCAAAAATAGAGACTCTCAGCTTCATTTCAAGGTATAACTCATTTCTGAACCCATCACAATAAGGTAGAGGCGATTTTTTTAATTTTTACTATTTTCTGACAATGCATAAATGAACTGGTTCATCTTCTAAATTTATTTCCTAAAATTTTTCTATATCAAACCTAAACATTTTTATACCTTATTCAAAAATAGAGACTCTCAGCTTCATTTTAAGATATAACTCATTTCTGAAGTCAACATAACAAGATAGAGACGATTTTTTTAATTTTTACTATTTTCTGAAAGTGCATAAATGAACTGGTTCATCTTCTAAATTTATTTCCTAAAATTTTTCGATACCAAACCTAAACATTATTATACCTTATTCAAAAATAGAGACTCTCAGCTTCATTTTAAGATATAACTCATTTCTGAAGTCAACATAACAAGATAGAAGCGATTTTTTTAATTTTTACTATTTTTTGACAATGCATAAATGAACTGGTTCATCTTCTAAATTTATTTCCTAACATTTTTCTATATCAAACCTAAACATAATAAAATAATAATAATAATTATTGATTTGTTGACATGAAATACCAACATAAAAATTATTAAGCACTAATCACAATCAAATTTTTTTCAATTTCAAATTTAACTCAATTTAATGCAAATCAATTATATACGTGTTTATTAAGCTTTATATTTAAAATTTCTTTATTTGATTTATAAATTATTTAAATTTTAACTTTTATAAATTTATTGCTAACTTCATGTTTATTTTTGATTTAGAAAAACATAACCTCAAAATAAACGTCAAAAAAAGAATAAAAATATCTTAATTAAAACAAATGTGTTTTTAAATAAATAAATACTACTCTATATTATGTTCTAAACTTAGGCAAATGATTAAATTGGAAGAGCACATAGTTTGGCAGCCAAAAATTCTGAAAGATATCACTTTATTTAATAGAAAAAAAGAGATTCCCCCTTTGGTTTAATGAATGAGCCAAACCAGTCAGGAATAAAAATCAGAATAAAGTATCATTTTATCAGAAATCAGATTTTCAATGATGAAATAGATGTATTAAGAGTAATAAAGATATACAATTGTGGTCAAGAACATGTTTAAATTGCCAAAAAGCAAACAATTTTAGACATACTAAACCCTTCTTCAAAAAATTTTAGGCCTCAGGTCATTTTTTAAAGAAGATATTTGAGAAACATTTTCTAATGTGGCAAACCCATGTTACTATATTATTATTATTCATATTGAAATTGAAATAATTATATCCTTTTCATCTTTTTCTGCAGTTATTATCATTAATATTTGATTTAATTTCCCCCATAGGTGATCTATGCATGCTTAATATTATTGAGTTGTATTTTGGTTTCAAAAATTTCCTCTTAATCTCCTCTTTCCCTGCTGTTGATGCTATTCAACTAATTATTATCATTATCATATTGAGTATAGTAATTTTGAATTTTTACCTTACATGTTCCTGCAGGATAGTCACTTTGTCCTTATAATTGTGCGTAGGTATCAATTCTTACTTTATTATTGATATTTAATTCTTCCTTTGGGTTGAAATTTTTGGCAAAATCATGATAAAATCCGAAACGTGAGGTAATTGGAATGTAGTTGAGTATCTTTAATAGTTATGAATTCCTAAAAAGATAATTTATAATTAAAATTTTTGGAAGTTCGATATTTCTAGGTTATGTTATTTGTCATTTTTTCGCCAATATTAATTTTATCAAATACCTAATTTAACTTAAATTCCAACTCCATTTATACACTATTATACATTTTATTATTAATTTTATTACGATTTATTTAAACAAATTAATTTTTAAGGATTTATTAAAAATTATTGATTTGTTGACGTGAAATACCAACATAAAAATTATTAAGCACGAATCACCCCGAAAATTTTTTTCAATTTCAAATTTAACTCATAATTTAATACAAATCAACTTTATATGCATGTTTATTAAGCTTTACATTTAAAATTTCTTTATTTGATTTATAAATTATTTAAATTTTAACTTTTATCAATTTTAACTAACTTCATGTTTGTTTTTGACTTAAAAACAACATAACCTCAAAATAAACGTCAAAAAGAAAATATAAAAATATCTTAATTAAACGTAAATGAATCGTTATAAATTAATCAATTTTTTAAATCCAATCAAATCTAATTTGTTACTTAGATTAAATTATTCGACGAAGAATTGTTGGAAATGTGGTGTATTTCAAGAAAACACCCAAAACCTTTTTTGCCCCGCTTGCAAAACGATTCAAAACCCCCCAAAAGAAGCTAATAACGATTATTTTAACCTTTTTAACCTTAATTTTAAGTACGACATTGACCAAAAATCATTAACTCAACATTACCGTAAGATGCAAGCAGTTTTACATCCGGATAAATTCACTAATAGGAGTGAGGATGAAAAGAAAATCTCTGAAGAGTACTCATCTTTGATTAATAAAGGTTATAATACATTACAAGGACCATTAAGTCGAGCTTTACACATGTTATGGTTGAAGAATGAGGTTATCGAGGAGAGTAATAAAAGTGATGATCCAGAGTTTTTGATGGAAGTTATGGAATTAAATGAGGAATTGGAAGAAGCTGATGGAGAGGAGAAGTTGAGGAAAATCGAGGCTAAAAATAAGGAGATGTTAAACAATGTTTCAATTATGATTTCGAAATGTTTTGAGGAAAACGATGTGGAACAAGCTAAGAAAGCAATTATTAAAATGAAATATTATGATAGTTTATCAAAAAGGATACATGATTTATTGAGAGAAAAAGGAATTTTAGATTAAAATTATTTATTAAATTAATAAATTTTATAAAGTACTTGTTGTATAATAAATAATCTTATAAATAAACCTATTTCTTATTAGCAATTTTTAAGATAAAATCAACTAAACAAAGCACCGCAACAACCAAACAAAAAATACCCATTATAACCCAAAAAGTCGACGCATCCGTCTTATACCCCTTATAATTAGAATGCAAAATAAATATAAAGATACAAGAGACGAAATGGTACGCAAATCCAAAGAATGTTAACAACATCTCCAATAAATCTTGGGTTTCATCGAAAATGTAGGTGATTATAAACGCTAAAGAGACCCATGTGTAGCCGATGATTGCGATTACGACGGTGTCGTGACTTGGTTGATCATCAAACGCTTTTATTGGGGGGTCCACGTACCAAAGAATCCAAGCGACGAGACAAATTATCTGTTTAATTAAAATTAAAAGCGTGTCGGTTAAGACTGTATGCTTTAAACTTACGAATTCGACGAATTTCAGGATAAAATTGGGTTGTTTGAATAAATCCCCGATGCTGTTCGCCATTATGTGGTGTTAAAAATATAGTAAATGACAAAATTGTTTATGATTAAAAGTCAAAAAGTTGAGCCTACTTTTAATAGTAATAAAGATTATTTTCTAAACTATTCTCTTTTGGGAATTTGTGAAAAGACGGATATTCGACCGGATATCCGGTTATCCGGCATATCTATCCGGCGATTATGGTTATAATTTCTGAAGTGATACCCTATATTGCCACATTATTGAAATTAATAAGAAAGCTGATAAGATATGAGATAATTTTATAGCGAATTTTAAAAATTTAGTACAAAAATGTTATCAAAACTTCAAAAAAGTTTTCTCAAAAACTAAAAGTTATTTTTCAAAACGTGTTGGTTCATTGGAAAGAGGACACTTTTATTAACACTTTGGGAAATTTTCATACTCCTATTCCAAGAACTGGATTTTATACGAATTTTTAAAACTTAATCGGCGAAAATTGCAAAATTCGAAAAAATTGTCGATCATTTCAAAAATTTATTTCTCAAAAACTAAAAGCGATTTTTCAAAACGGCTTTTTGCATTAAAAAGAGGATACTTTAATTAATAATTGGTGATATTTCCACAAGGATCCTTCAAGAAATTAATTTTATAGCGAATTTTGAAAATTATCGATGAAAATTGCAACATCGAAAATTTTATCAAAACTTCAAATATTGTTTTCTCAAAAACTAAAAGTTATTTTTCAAAACGGGTTGGTTCATTGGAAAGAGGACACTTTTATTAACACTTTGGGAAATTTTCATACTCATATTCCAAGAAATGGATTTTATACGAATTTTTAAAACTTAATCGGCGAAAATTGCAAAATTCGAAAAAATTGTCGATCATTTCAAAAATTTATTTCTCAAGAACTAAAAGTGATTTTTCAAAACGGCTTTTTGCATTAAAAAGAGGATACTTTAATTAATAATTGATGATATTTCCACAAGCATCCTTCAAGAAATTAGTTATTTTGCAAAACGGGTTGGTTCATTGGAAAGAGGGCACTTTTATTAACACTTTGGGAAATTTTCGTACTCCTATTCCAAGAACTGGATTTTATACGAATTTTTAAAACTTAATCGGCGAAAAATACAAAATTCGAAAAAATTGTCGATTACTTCAAAGGTTTATTTCTCAAGAACTGAAAGTGTTTTTTCAAAACGGCTAGTTGCATTAAAAAGATGATACTTTAATTAATAATTGGTGATATTTCCACGAGGATCCTTCAAGAAATTAATTTTATAGCGAATTTTAAAAATTATCGATGAAAATTGCAACAACGAAAATTTTCTCGAAACTTCAAATAGTTTTCTTAAAAACTAAAAGTTAATTTGCAAAACGGGTTGGTTCATTGGAAAGAGGGCACTTTTATTAACACTTTGGGAAATTTTCGTACTCCTATTCCAAGAACTGGATTTTATACGAATTTTTAAAACTTAATCGGCCAAAATTGCAAAATTCGAAAAAATTGTCGATTATTTCAAAAATTTATTTCTCAAGAACTAAAAGTGATTTTTCAAAACGGCTTTTTGCATTAGAAAGATGATACTTTAATTAATAATTGGTGATATTTCCACAAGGATTCTTCAAGAAATTAATTTTATAGCAAATTTTGTGAAAAATTATCGATGAAAATTGCAACATCGAAAATTTTATTAAAACTTCAAATATTGTTTTCTCAAAAACTAAAAGTTATTTTTGAAGACGTGTTGGTTCATTGGAAAGAGGACACTTTTATTAACATTTTGGGAAATCATAATCATATTCCAAGAACTGGAGAGAGAGAGAAAACAAATTTTATTTTTGGATGCCAAAAAGTACAAATAAATTAAAAAAAAGGAGTATACAGGGTGTATCTGAATGACTGCAACAAACTTCAAGGGGTGATTCTTTGGTGAATTTTAAGGGTACTTTGATATATGAACCGTGGGCGACTTCGGCTCCCCTAAGGAGCTACACCCCTTTTGGCCCTATTTGCACTTTCAACCTACCTAAAACTCAGTCAAAAATAGTGCTATTGACCGGAGTCTTTCTGCCCATGCAAGTTCTAGTTAGCGGCAGCTTCAGTCTTTTCTGTCCATCAATAGTTTTTGAAGGAGTGGAGGGCGGTCAGATGTGTGGCTTACTGTAGCGATAATGAGCATATGGTGGAGAAGATTAGTTGGGAAATTTCGGGTAGTTTTATGAGATAAAGATTGTAGACGGAAGTTAATGGGAGGGATATTAATGAGGTTATATAGGAGATCATTGCTAGGGTTGAAAAGAGGCTTTTGGGGATTCCTTATTCGTGTTATGGACCTCAATGTCGATCTTTCTGCGACTTCTAAATGGTGTCTTGATGTTCTAGGCGCGTCGTTTAGAAGTATAGATCCATATTCTATAATTGGTCTGCATATGGATTTGTAAATGTGCGAGGCACATTTTGTAGATGACAGGGATATGAAGTGTTCACTTTGATGGCGTGGGCAGAGAATTTTAGGGTTCTGTCGAGTGTTATGCCTTGCGGACATCCAGAAACAGAGCCGCGGATTTACGTTTCTGATAGCTTGCCGCTTGAAAGTTGGAAACCAATACCGTAAGTGGCTGGGATGTAGATTTGCCGGGTTGGAATCCAAATTGGTAGCGTGGAATGTTCTTTGAGACGATAGCCAGGAGCTTGTTCTTGAGATGTGTCTCGAAAAGCTTTCCTATCACTGGCAGCAGTGAGATGGGGCGGTAGTTTGCTTAGTCGGAAAGTGAGGAATCCTTCTTGGGGACGCAGATTATGATAGAGGTCCTCCGGTCTCGTGGAAAATGTATATTCATAAGGCAGAAGTTAATTATTTCCCTGATGTAGGAGTGAATATCAAGGTCCAAGCTTCTCAACACCCTCCTCGAGATGTTATCATAATCAGGAGCTGTATTCTTCCCTTGGCCTAGGAGAGTGAAATACTTGTCCTCCAGCATAATAGCATTCTCAGGTGTTTCAGAGGGATTTATAAAAGCAAGTTGATACCAGTTGTCTATTGTGCTTTTGTTCTGGGAACAAAATGAGGCATCTTCAGCAAAGGAAAATATTCCTTCCAGGTAGTCAGGATGGATGTTAACAATCTCTTCAGGGTTCGAATGTGCAGTTCCATCAGTGGGAGTGAGCTCTTTTGTTCCAGCAACTTCCTGTCAATAATTTCTTTTACATGAATTGATTTTGTCGCAGGTTTCCATATATTTCTCCGTTCTATATTGCTGTACTAGTTNGTTACGGAATTATTAATGTTTTAAGTTTATTGCTGGGATTTATGGATAACTTCACACCAGTAATGTTCTGCTGCTGCCGAGCTTTTACTTACTCATTGTAAGAGAAAAACACAGTATTAATAATATATGAATCATTCTGAGGTTAATAATGCAACATTATAATCTGTAAAATATTACCCTTGCTTTGGTTATGCGACGGTCATTCGTTTGTTGAAATTTTTCGTCTCGTTTTCGCATAATTGAATGAAATAGGACAATTTTGCGAATAATAGCTCTTATGTTATCTTTGAGCACTTGAATCAGGAAATTTTTCACGTCTGTTGAAAATAAGTGTTGTCCATATCCATGGCATCCATATCACAAATTCCAAAACCGTATTAAACTGTCAGTCGCTGTTGATGAAGTGCTTTCTCTTGCTTCATCAACCTGTGTTGTGCAAGTGTTGAAAACCATTTGTTAAGACTTTTCGGAGCCCCAAATCTGACCGATGAAAATATTGACCAATTATTGAATGGGTTTATTTAATTGGGGCTAATTAATATCGACCTCAGAATAATTATGTTCAAAAAATCGTGATCTTGTTCATGCATTGCATCAGCGTATGTTGTCCATTGAAGGCGTTATCCGTGACCTTGTGGCTTTAATTTTTGCGTCAGCCTTTAAAGCAAGATCTTTATGCAAAACACGATGCAAACTGGATTTTGATAAGCCAATTCCTGTGAACGTCTTGAAATTGACAAACAAATTGGAGTCATTACATCACTAATTTGTCCTACACTTTTAAATTTATAGATTAACCTTACCATAGCAGGGCGTGAATGTTCACTATTTCAATACGTTGTGCGAGTATATATACAGTGTGTCCTAAGATAGATGTTACAATAGGTATAAAGACCTAAAAAATTTTGGATTTTATTGTAAGGATGGGGAATTAAGGTAAAGTAAGCTTTTTGTTTATGATACGGCAAAATTTCATTAAGAAAAGTTGTTCGGAATGAGAAATTATAGCATTATGCAAAATTTCAGAAAGATCTACCTACATTGATTAAACCACCATATTTTAGATTACATCAGAGTAAAGAAAAACAACAATGAAAAATGCCATAAAAAATGTATTATCCCTCAGTTTTAGTTCACATTTCAATTACTCTTGCATTATGTTAACATTAGAACAGAAAATTTACGTCGTACAGTGTTATGGGCTTGGGCAAAGTGCACTAACAGCAGTGGTACAGCAGTTTAACGAGCGATTTCCTAATACAATCTTACAAGTATGACTGTTATGCGAATAGTTAAAAAATTTTTTACTTCGGGAAGCGTTGTTAACGTTAAGAGAGAGAAAAAGAAATATAACGACAATAGAAAATTAGCTTAAGAGAATTTAGGCATTGTATAGAAAAATGTGCAACAAAAGGTGGATGGTATGTTGAATAAACGACAGCTATGTTTACGTTAGACTTTATATAAATAAAATATAATTATACAATATTTATGTTATTTAAACAAAAATGTGATAAGAAAAAGTAGATAGATCCTTCTGAAATTTTGTATAGGACCATAATTTCTCATTTTGAAGAACTCTTTTTAATAAAATTTTTCCGTATCATGAACAAAAAGGTTACTTTACCTAAATTAAAAATAGTTTTTGGTTTACTGTCAAGGCCGACTTTGTTTTCAAATTATGAAAATATACTTAAAATTCTCTTTACAAAAATTTTAAGTCATTATACCTCTTGTAACATCTATCCTGGGATACACTGTAGATCCATTTTTCATAACCTCACAATTTTTACTTGCCAAAAGTAATATCACTAGCTTTGTTCGTTGGGACTGCACTA